CGATACACCAATCAGCAATAATGGGTGAGAATCCTCTGCCGCTCGCTCCTTCCCCGGCCTAGCCCCAAAAACAGGACTCAAAGAAAGGCAAGTCCTTGCACGTTGCGTGTTTCAGACAGGTTTCAGAAACAATCACAAGTGGTGAGACTGCCAAACCAAGCCAGATTTTGATGTGAAAGGAGAAATCTGAGAGCTTTCCCTGCCTACTTAACACCGAAGAAAAAACAAAGCTGTCGAACAAGCCGCAGTGAGAGAAAGTCAGCTCTCCGCAAAAGTTGAAATTCTTATGACTTGTCTCTAGCTCCAGCGGTTCCCCTCGTCGAAAGGAAGTGAGCTTACCCCAACCGTGGACTCGATGAAGGTTTTATAGTGATCAGGGGAAGAGGAAGTGCTTGTGTAGCTGGTGACATCTGCAGCCTTTCCTCCAGCACATGGCTTGGCACATTCTCCTCCAGCACATGGTCCATTATCTGAATTAAACGTGCGTAGGAACTCCCAGGCCCAGCACAGATCGTTGCTTTTCTTACCCGATGTATATGCATCGCACTAGTTGGCTTGTGGTTTGGAGACAAGGGTGATTAAAACTAATCACCAGTCTGTCCAATTGTGGGAGTTACCTGAGCTGTATATTCTGCCCGAATGCAGGAAGTAATGGATAACCGAGACAATGCAAAAGAGCTTGTAAAAAACCTGCCTTGGAGCTCTTCACTGGCTTTTCAGTTAAACAGCTAATAGTGCTGTAGGAAGGAGGAAAGCCTGACTGAAATGCAGCAGGCAATATTGATGTGTCCTGTTCCAGTGAGTGAATGCATCCACCAGAGTCAGGGTTCGTTCAGCTTCCCATTACTTACCTTTAGAGGAAACATACAAGCTCAGATTAAACCCCAAGTGTTCTGAAATGGTGTTGTACAGCTGTCCTAGAGCCTACTAAAAAGCACCCTCTTTTTCTAAGCCAAGTCTGAAGCAAAGCACAGCCAGCGTTTGCACATCTACTATAACACGGCTCACACACACACTCTGCTGTCATGCTTTGCAGAGTAAGAGCTCAATACATAATTCATCTACTACACGCTCTTGGAAAGTAGTAATTACACTATACATGCATAAAAATCAGACAGCGAATTTAAATGACCTATTAAAGGCCACAAAACAAGTTGGTGGCTAAGCCAAGATAACTGCAGTTCCTAGAGTGCAGGCCTCTGAGTAATCCTCTATCAGAGCATGCAACACGTTACTGAGCTAATTTTGCCTGGCAAAAATAGTGGAAAAAAGGAAATAAGGTTTAAAAAAATATAGCTTCTGAATCCATGGCAATCGAGCTTACATCTTCCAGTTTACTAATCAAGCTTAGAAAACAAAAGATGCAGAAGGATCCCAGCTGATCTTTCATTATTCATACCATTAATTTCATTGTAAACTAGGTATTGACCCTTCTAGCAATGGCTGAACTCATTAAGTACTAACAATTCTCTAAAACACAAATTTGGGTCCACACACAAATACGCACCAGTTTCTCTATTAGCACAGAACCTCACCAGACACTTTTCAAGCTACACACAAATACACGTTTCCCTATCAGCACAGAACCTCACCAGACACTTTTCAAGCAGTGGTTCTCACAGAGCTCTAAAGGCTTTTCCTCCTACATATCAAAGAATTTTTTTACCGATAAAGAGCGTGTGTGTGAGCAAACTATCCATGCCCTTTCTGTGAAAAAACAAACAAGTCCAAGACAAAGTGTTCAAGCTCACAGTCATTCTGGTGCAGAGATAAGCCAGAAGTAGCAGCTGTAAAATATGAATAATGATACTGACCTCCATAGTACAGCAGTTAGTATTTCTTTATTGCAGCTTTTTTTTTTTTTTTTTAAATATATATCAGTGAGAACGTAATTGCTGTTTAGAATAGGGAAGCACGTAGAGAGAAATATTTTCATTTTCATAAATACTAAAAAACCTAACCCCGAGGGGCAGTGCTGGAGTGAGATGCTACTTGGAGAACAGAGCTAAGATACTAATACAGAGTCATTAACACCAACTGGAAGATAGCAAAGGAAAACTAAAACTCTAACTCAGCATGACTTTGAGACCAGGAATAGGCTCCTACATCACACCTTGTCTCTGTGGATCTGTTTATAATCCAAGCACGAGCCACTCTGGAGACTAGATTACAACACACACATGGGGTCACATTCACGTAGATACCATGAACTTAGAGCACAACCAGGCAAAGCTGAGTGTTTGTAGCACAGGTGAGGAACTTCATGTCACCTCTAAGGATGTCACCCAAAGAGGATCCTTAAAGCTACCTACCAAAAGACCGTCCCTCAACTCCTGAAACTGGGAATCAGTTCTATCTCCCAACAGACAGAGCTGAATTTAACCAAACTACACATGGTTTTCACACAGCTTTTCAGTGCCTTGAATCCACTGAGAAGAGATTTGGTGCTGCTCTGCCCTTTCTTGTGTTGTGTAAAACGGACAGGCTGCTTCTACCGATTTCTTACAACCATGGAGTCCTTTTCCTTTTTGGAACATGCAAGTCTGACTTTTTTTAAAAGGAATTTTGAACTCAAAGCAGGAAGAAATAAGCCATGCCTGTGTGTAAGCCTCACAGCATGCTGCCAACCAACATTTTCCCTTAAAGCTGTACAACAGCATTGAAAACACAGCTACAAACGGCCCCTCCTGGAGATAAACCACCTAGCTAAGAAAACAGTGGACACATTTCTCCCTAGGAGTAAGCAGGAATCTTGCTTTGCAAAGCTGCTGAGGGTGGCAGGTTTGGTTTTGTTTAACTAAAACTCATTCCCTCTCTAGGCGGTGCAGTTCACAGAGGGAAAATAAATAGGCTGGAAAAAAAAAACACACCAGAAGCTTGCGGGGGGGTGGTGGGGTGGTGGAGAGGGAACCTGCAGGGAAGCAAACTGCAATGTAAACAGGGAGACAGAGCAGGGCTGGGGGTCAGGAGGGCAGGGCTGGAGCTGGCAGTGGGAACCCAGGTACGGCCCCTGCCCCACACCGGGGAGGAGGCAGGAAAAAGGGGCCAGGAGCCACTTTCCAACAAGGAAATTTCACCCTGCCCAGGATTTCCAAACTGCAATAATTTTCCATGGGCCAATCAGGGAGGAGCGAGACAAACGCACCAAATTAGGAAAGTAAATACTGGAAGGGGGAGAGGAAGGAGGAGGAGGAGGAGGAGGAGGAGGAGAGCCCAGCTCATGCAACCACCTCCCAAAGGCAGCGATGGGAGAGGGGTGTGGGTCCCACGCCAAGCTCCCACCCCCCCAGACCTGCCCTTGGGAAAGGGGAGAGGACACTGTGCCAGCCTCAGCCACCACTGTGAAGCCACCACGACAGCAGAGAACTGCCCAGAAAACCAGATGGCCAGAATGAATACATGTTCCCTGTAGAGCCTTCCCTTTCTCAGGCAGAAACACCCAAATCACTGCCCAAAGCGCGGCCCGTGGGGCACCAGAGCTACGAGACCCCGTGGAGGGAGAGGGGAAGGTTGAAGGGGCTGAGCAGGGATGTTTACAAACGTGTCAGCCCCTCCTCTGTAAGAGGAACTCGGAAACGAAAGGGGTTTGGCAAGTGAAACCTCAGATGTCTTTTGAGGTTTTCTGAAGACTTGGCTGGATTAGCTTCTGCTTAAGACAAACGGATGCAATCATTAATCATCCTTAGTAAACACTCCGTTAGGGGCTGAGCACAATTCAACACTACTATTTCCACTTTCTCCTTATGCAAAAGAAACATTCTCGGGGAGTCAAATATCAGTTGCAGGCATATGCCAGAGTCAAAAGATACAGCCTCTGTTAGTAACACAAACCACACTGTGCTGCTTTGCGCAAGATGACTGAATGGAAACTAACTACCATATGTTGGCAGAGAAACCATCCCCCTCCCCTCCCAGCAACAAGCTTCGTCTAAAAAGAGAAGGTTAAATATAAACTAAAAGCAGTGCCTGAACAGAGGACTTAAAACCACAGCTCCCTCCAGCCCCTTCTTTCTAGAATATCTGCATTGCACATCTGTGCAGCTCTGCAAGACCCGGGGAAAAACCCAAACAAGCGAGCGCCTCCGGATCTATGCAAAACACAACTGGCTTCTCTGTGACACTGAAGCTGTTCTCAGCCACGGAAATTTGAATACTACTCACTGAATTAGTGCTAACTGTCAGAAGGTGTTTGGATATTACTCTCCTTTTCACAAATGTACGGACAAGAAAACAAACCAAAGGCTATTACCATGACCAGGTACACCCTTGCTGTTCTGAGGCCCACGTACTTTAGAACTCTAATACATCATCCTATACCATGAGTATACTTGAGTTTGTAAAATATATACCTCAAGTAACAGCTTTAATGTTAAAAGAGGCTACACTGCAACTCCGTAACATCAACTCGTTGCTGAGAAGAAAAGAAAGTATTCCAGACAGTAACTTGATGTTCAGGTTCTTTCTATTGCACATTCATGAATCAGATAATTTACAAAACAGGATACTCGCACAGATGTACGTTCAGATTGTTGTGGCCCCTCCGTACCCCCGTTTCCTTCTATTCCCAGGAAACCACGTGCCAATGGCCACCCTTGTCCCTAACTTCAGATAACACCGGCACCACCCAGCAACAACAGAATATTAGTGAGATAAAAATAAAACAGGCAGTCCTAACATAGAAAATAGTTGCCTGCTTTCTTTTCGCCGTGCATATAGGTAGCTCTCGATAAATATTTCTAATTCCACTGCCAAAGATAGACTAGTAACTCTATAGTGTGAAACTAACACTCAAGTTCCCCCTCAATCCTTTGAGCTCTTAAACAAAACTCTCCAGCCCTACTTCCAGCCACCCTAACACAGTTTTTAGCAGTCTTCCATCATTCTGAATACGAGTATTTAACTAGTTATTTTTAACGGGGTGTTTCATGCACCAAATATACCAAACAAAACAGAGCTGTCAGACTGGGGTCGGAGAACACTTTGGATAGTTAACATCTCACCTGATAGTGCCTGTGGGGGACGGGAGGGGACTGACCACGCTCCGGAGATCCGGCTCCGGGATGTGGATCTTCAGAGGCGAGATTTGAGGGTAAAGTGGCCGGAGGGGAGGCGATGAGGCTTCCTCTTTTACTTCCTCTTTATGGTATAAAGATGTGAACTGGATCTTTATAACCGTGCTAGGGAATCGGAAAGTACATCTGTAAAGGAAAGAAACGAAAAGTCAGTTTCACACACGGCACTAAACGTGTTTAAGTGTTCTTGTATGCAATTGGTGACTCATTAATTCATTCACAGCACAAAAGTCCACCACTCTCTTTTAAAATCTTTCTGCAGTGTCCTGGGCAGAATTATTCGTCATTCATAAATCCCTGGAAATGTATCATATTGTATCATGTATCACTTAGTGTTTAGATGCAAGCTGAAGGTTTGGGTAAGTCAAGTGATTTCCCCAAGGCCATGTATTCAATCAGTGACTAAACAAGATGCAGAACTATAATGACAAACTCTGGGGTTCCTGCTGTATTGAGGACTAGGATTTATCCTTTATTAGCTCCTTGCTCATAACTCAGGAAGATACAAGTTACTAGAAAGTATCAAACCATAAGCAACAGGGAGCAAAGAGCCAGAAAGTCCAGACAGAGCAACAAACAGCCTCCAGGTAAGACCCAGTCAGCACTATTTAAAGACTGGCCTCTACATACTGTATAACTAATACCCATTTATATCTCTGCACATGATGCTAAAGGATCATCTAGCAGGTTTCAGATTAAAATACATTCATTTAGAAGTGCCTCCCTTTAGACAGCAGGGTTTATAGCTACCAGGGCCCCTGCAAGCCTACAGGGCCTCATTTCTTCTCTAAATAACACTTCTTTCCAATTGTTATTTAGGGGAAAAAAATAATCATACATCTACATGTGTAGCCTTCAGGAGATGCTGGGAAATTCAAAAGGAAATCAGCACTGGCATTTTCCATATTTGAACAGAAAGCTCTCTAATTTGTAGTGCCTGCAACAGGCGCAGGGCTGTAAGAGCGAGTGTTCTGCAATTCTTCTTATTGCACTTTAATTAGACAATAATGTGCAATCAATACAAGCTTTCCAGGGATCACTTCACTGATAGTAAGGTTAAAGCAGCAGGAAATAAAAACCAGGTTTCACCGTGGGAAAGGCCAGCAGAGCACAGTAATTGTGTTGCCTTCCAGCATCTTGCCTATAGAAGGAAACGCAGGGACTCGGGCAATGCTGTTCCAGTGCTGGTGTAGGCTGAACATAATTCTTTTAAGCAGCAAATTATTGAATCCTGCCAGGTGGCAGGCAAGTAAATCTGTATTTGTGACCACCTTATCTTCATGCTGATACTGATAGAAATGCAGACAAACATCCCATCACAGCTCTAAAAACATACTCTCTTGCTCTCGATTCTTCAGCACAAGCTAGTTGTGCTGTAAGGTAATGTTCAGAAACCTGCCACGAGGAGTACAAAATTATCATTCAAGCATTGGGAAGCTCATTCCCACCTCCCACCTCACCTCTCAAACGAGCTGGCTCAGCAATCAGTGGCTTGGACTCAGAGCAGCTCTGCTATGTACAGCAGGAGTTTGCATTGCATTTAATTCACTACAGAGGTCCTGCCACCTGCACTCATTAATGCATTAAATAAGAACATCGTTGCTGGCAATGCAGCCTAATTGTGTTTATCTAGCCCTTCTAAACACGGTTCCCTGCAGACTCAATACAAATGCACAATTCAGAATAGCAGAGAGCCCGTGCCTTGCAATGCCTGCCAGCAGCAGGCACGCAGCTTACAGAGACGAACCCAACACAAGGCTGTTGAACCACTACTCTGGATTTTAAGCCTTCATACTACTACATAGATTAAAGAAAAAAAGCAGAGAATGCATAAATTTTCAGTGAGCATCACATGGACTGAGGATCAATACCACTATGAGCAAAGCTTCATCGTTTCTCAAGCCCTTACCAGGGAAAAACCTGAGTTTGCTTTCAGAGAGCGATGGAATTCTCTGCTGTAACACCAGGTGCTCAGCATTTTTTAACGTGTGAGTCAAGGACAAATCAGTCCTTGTTTAAGAGCACTCAGTGCCATCCCAACCTGCTGCTGATCTCAACAGGCCTGGCTGCACAGAGCCCTCGGGCAGTTCTGCAGCACTGATGAGGCCAGAATAAGGTCCCCACAGCAGCTTCACACCAGTAAGGAGCTCTGTCCCACTGCCACTTGCCTCTTCCTTTCAAATGGACCCGGTAATCAAGATCCTCATCTCCTACATGTTATTGCTTCCAGGTAATGGTGCAACTAACTCCTCAGCTCTACTGCACTATCTGATGCTGTAACAATGAGAGATAAGAAGTTTATACCAGCACCCAAAACACCGTGAGGCAGAACCAGCAGTCTGCAAGTATGGGCAATCTTAACAAAATCTGTTACTTATCCAAAATTATGAGTCAACCTGAAAGATGAAGTCTGCACTAACCCAGTAAATGTGTGCTGAAAAGGCCCGTCTAACATTGCTTTTCCTTGAAAGCCTCCCCAAAGATGTCCCATCCAGCCACGGGACCTACCTGCACCAAGGGAAGGGAATCGGAAAGGTTGGGCTGTGACTGCCCAAGCAAACTATTTGTTGGGTGCTGTGATTTTGTTTTTAGAAAGACAGGCTTCCCAAGCCACTGAAACAGAACCCAGGACTTACAACTACTTTTCACACATTATACTAGATAACACGTACACGGCCATTTCCTAAGGAGCCAGTCCCAGAAAAATCAGAGAGCAGATATATATGCAAGGGAACTCCCAGTCTGTACTGGTTTCCAGTATTGACACAACCCACAAAGCTAAGGTGGGGGTAATTTATCCAAACTGCTGATTTTAGCGCTGTAAAAGACTTGGGACCCAAGAAATGGAAATGCAATGGGAAAACAGATGGTACATTCCTGCAGAACTCCTCCCCTCCCTCGGGGGTGAGACGGTGCCTGGGATTAAGACACAGAGACACACACAGAACAGCCCGAGACACAGCTTCAGACCAGCACCAATAGTGAGGAACTGTGTCAATGAGAAATCAGAATAGCATGATTTCTGATTCATCTTGTCACAGGAAGATCGCTTTTCATTACACTGAACCTGAATGCAGTTTTAATGAGCTTTTCTAATTGTTCCCTTAATTAACCTCCTTCCAACCAAGAGAGGATAAAGTCAAATTATATCAGGTAGTCCTCTTTAGGAGTGAGGCCCATTAGTGCAGGATTTAAGCATGTGAGAACTATACTACTACAGAAGACAGGCAGCCCAAGCTGAGCTGAGCATGTACTCTTTAAGGTTACTGTATATATTTCCAAGTTATTTAAACTGAGTTATACTGTTTGATCCACGTTGCCTGATTCCTATCAAAGATGCACAGCAATCACTACTACTGCTTAACATTTCCATCATGAGAAAAAGATCAATCTGAAAGCATAGATTAGACTCAACATAAAAAGCATAATGAAGTTAACTGGTATTTCCAAGGGTGCCCAAGAGGCAACTCTTAAGCACCTCTGAAACTTCCAGCTGATTACGTGGGGTAAATTAATGGCCTGCAAAATGTCTTGATCATGTTGCAGGCAGGAAGCAACCTGCTTCAACGCTGCTGAGTTTTACCTGATAACCTGGTGCAGAGGTTTATCCTACAACCCATGCCCATAAAACCAATATATATTGTACTCCTACAGTCACAGTATGTTGCATCCATCTCAATTCCTCGTGGGAAAGGATTCCTATTTCTCTAGGATGCCTTGCAAGGCAGTGAGAATAGAAAGCTGGTTTTTTTTTTTTTTTTTTAGTGTTAAAACCCAAAACACAAACACACACACACCCAACCTCCATAAACTGCATAAAAACAATTCTTGCTTGATGAGATTACAGGCAGGAGAAAGCAGAAGAAAATGGATTGCTGGCTCCCTGCTGCACGCTTCGGTTCACAGCCTCCGTAGCGCTGGCTCAATGTATGCTATATATACACTGGGGACCACGGGAGGAGGAGGAGGAGTGCACATGCCACACATGGTTACAGCCATACAAGAGATGTTTCTAGACTTTTTTTTTGTTGGTTGGTTTAAAAAAAAGACAGATTCTCCAAAAGTTTCCTGCCAAAACACAAACACACACACACCCAACCTCCATAAACTGCATAAAAACAATTCTTGCTTGATGAGATTACAGGCAGGAGAAAGCAGAAGAAAATGGATTGCTGGCTCCCTGCTGCACGCTTCGGTTCACAGCCTCCGTAGCGCTGGCTCAATGTATGCTATATATACACTGGGGACCACGGGAGGAGGAGGAGGAGTGCACATGCCACACATGGTTACAGCCATACAAGAGATGTTTCTAGACTTTTTTTTTGTTGGTTGGTTTAAAAAAAAGACAGATTCTCCAAAAGTTTCCTGGATGAGCTCCTCACTGACAGCGCAGCACCCGTGCTATTAGGCACCCTTCCCTGTGGTTGAACCAGTGACAGTGACCACAAGCATTTCATCTACGTAAGGTCTGCAAAGAAATTGTAGGAAATAAATTGGAGGGAATAAATTGCTAGGGAAAAACTAGACTTTATACATAGACAGGCACCCCCAAAGCAGACTTCAGGGAAAATAGTTAGGTAAAAAAACCCAACAAAACAACTCCATGCCCTGCATGACTATAAAAAGCAGACTATTCTCCCACTCCTCAAAGCACCTTTTACTCACAGATGTAAAGGCATAGACAGGCACCCTCAAAGCAGACTTCAGGAAAAATAGTTAGGTAAAAAAACCCAACAAAACAACTCCATGCCCCGCATGACTATAAAAAGCAGACTATTCTCCCGCTCCTCAAAGCACCTTTTACTCACAGATGTAAAGGAAAAGGAGATGCATTTGCCAGAACATAGTCCCAGGTTCAACAGAAGCTGTTACAGTCACTGATTTCTTTGTGAGAGCACCCCGAGTGCAGTTCAACACCGACTGACTTCTGCTAAGATCTGCTGCCTAACAGCAAGAAAAAGCTACGATTTCTTTGTGAGAGCACCCTGAGTTCAACACCAACCGACTTCTGCTGAGATCTGCTGCCTAACAGCAAGAAAAAGCTATTTAAAGGTTTTAAAAGGAGACAGGAAACTGTGCTAGATTTATGGTTTTACATTTACACCATGGAAAAGCACAGTGACAAAACGGAGAAGACAAATCATGAAAAAGCCAAGGTGAAACATATATAAAAACATATATATACACACACAAAAATGTATATATAAACCTGGGACGATATTTATATATATCATGTAATATATATATAAACATAACATAAAATGTCATATGTTATGCCATATATAAACATCATTCCAGTTTATTATGCAAAAGGGAATAACCAGAAAAGTAAGTTGGAAGACTGTTACACAGGAGTTGTCATCAACGAGCTGGTACTATCTTTGTCTACTTTATCTTGCCGTAATGTATGAAATCCTGTTATTCCTGAATGCTGCAGGTATAAATGCACCAGTAGCATCTGTTTTCTTTACAGTGCTGAGGTGCAGGTTGGGCGAGGAACATTTTAGAAAACGCTTTGTTAAAAGTAACACTTTTCGTCATCTGAATCAAAAGAGTAACACAGTCCCAGGGTTTTGTTCAAAAAAAAATAAATTAGTTAAGCAGGATCATCTCCCCGTGTTGCAAATGCTGCTTGTTTTTAAACTTTGCAGGTAGTGTTTCCACACCACTGACTCCCAGTATCTAAATCTCTCCCTCTGCCACATGATGCGAGGGGACAGTAGCCCAACTCTTAAGGATGAGGCAGTTATCTCTCCAATCAGTAAATTCCTTGGATTCAGCAAACACAGACAGGCAGAGCTCTAGTTACAGCAGCACATGCTGTGATAAAACAGAACTGTATCACTACTAGCTAAAGTTTGACCAAAAAACCCCTTGGAAAAGAGAAAAAAGCCCCAAACAAGCCCCACAGAACTGTTCCTCTATCCCCTCTAATTTCTCTGAAACCAATTTCTTTTTTTGTGTCAATTAGATCTAATTCACCCAGCAGAATACAGTATTATTCCCATGCACCAAGTTCCAAAATCACGTTGGGTTCCTCAGCTCAAGTGAGAATTTGCCATCAGTCATTTTTGTCAGGCTATTACCATTACCACCTATTTCAAGGTACTTGACATGATTTTCCCCAAGGGCAAGGTGGATACTTCTCACCCTTTCAGTCAACGTGTAGGATAAATACCAAAATTTCAGGCCACAATCAGTGTACGTAGTGGCCGTTACAGAGAAGTGCCCCAATTACCTCCTGTAGCTAATTTTCTTCATTTTCTGTAATCAGCTAAGAACCACATCCCTGCACCTATGAAAATCAAGTTCCCATTAAGTCATAAATCCACTCCCTACTCCCATAATACTGTGAAGCCATCTGAAAGGAGGTGCCTTGGACAACATAAAAGACT